CAACAATATATATTGTAATAAGGTTTACTGTTTCCTTTCCAGTTAAAATCAGAAATTCTTATACACAATAGTTAATGCTACTTGAGTAAATTAATTAGTGTGAAGATGAATAATAATGTTCTTTTTGAGGTAAATAAAAAGTCGTTGCTTAAACGTAAGATAAAATATTTATATTATTGTGTGCAAATTCAGCATTATGTAACTTATTTAAAACAGTTTCATATACAGATACAGCGAGGTTAGAATAAAGATGTGACATCAGAACATAAAATCAAGTTATATAAAAGGGTAAAACCTATAAAGATGTAAGGTAAAAGTGGATAATTTGTTTTCAGCGAAAAGCTACACGTTGGGTTATCGTGTTCTGTCCATCGTGAGGAATCGACACCAGATCTTAGCCTCATAAGTCCAAACTTACCACTGATCCACCAGGAGACAGAAGTGAGTAAATTAAAAAACGAAAAAATTGGGGAAACTAGCCTCCTTTTTATATCCATGTTACTACTACTACTAAAAACTTGGTAGGTATTTTGGTTAAAATCTAACTAGTCCCGAAGAGACTTGAGAGACAACCAGAGGTGTTCAGAAACAGTTGGTTTTTTTTCGCTTCGCTCGCGGAATTTAGGTTTAATATTTTTAGTGGGCAAGGTGGGTTTTACAGATAGCGGAAGGTTTGTTGAAAGCCTCCGTGTTATTGCTTTTTCCAGGTGTAATAAAAAGGGAGCCAGTCAATTTAGAATATAGAGTAAGTCATATAAAAATGAGTTATATAAAAAAGAACTAAGTTATATAACAGAGCAAAACCTGAAAAGATGCAACGTAAAAATGGATAATTTGTTTTCTGCGCATAGCTGCATAACTGGTTATCTTTGCTCTGTCCATCGCGGGGAATCGAGCCCCGGATTTAGGGCTGCAAGTTCGTAAATTTACCGCTAATTTACCGGGGAAAATTGGGAGAACTTGACCCTCCTCTTTAAAACTGTGTTTCAGTTACAATAAAAAGTGAACCAAATATGCCCAATTTTTAAATTAACTTACACACATTTACGTAACATATCTTTACAGAGTTTGTCCTTTTATCAAAACACACGGAAGTGTGTTATGCGGCTAAAAC